AGGCGGAGGCCGCGGCAGGGCGCGGACCTACGCAGAGTGACCCGCCGCGCCGTCAGCCGCCCTCTGCTACGGTCCGCACGCGTCGCTCTTTTGCAACTTACGGCGTGTGCAACACGTGTCGTAAGGTCGACTCACGGGACCGCTGGCTACCGTGCGGTTTTAAGTCTGACCGGCGCGGCTGACCGGGAATTGACGTGCGGCTGACGAGCTTCGAGCAACCGCTAATCCGATACAGTACGAGGGGATATGGATGGGTCTGCGGCTCGTCTCATAGACAGGGCGTGATGGGGACCCCGCGGGGCAGAGCGAGACGGGGGAGAGCGAGGAGAGACGAGTGAGCCGCTCGCCGGTCACTGGCGGGTCATGACCTTGAGGTCTCCGGCCACCGCCCGTAGTCTGCCCTATACTCACAATGGCGAGCGGGGGTTTCCAGGCGGGGAGCGCGGGCGGGGAGGGCGGTATCCTGTTGGAGGTTACACCACCGGACACGGGTAATGCGGTAAGTCAGCTCGGATAATGGTCAAATGAAACTCAGCAAAAATCCTCACGGCATAAGTAAGCACACCGTACTTAGCGCCTCTCTTCAACGCACATAAGTTGGATAATGATCAGCCTACTTTATGCAATCGCAGCTGTACCAACTACTTTACACCATCAGCTCAGCGAGCCTTGGGCCGCCCACAAGCATGTAATCAGCGGCCCATTGTGAAAATCGCGCACATGAATCGTGCGTAATTGCATGGCAGCACCTCTGCGCAGTCAATGTCACGGTCACTTCAGGCGCTCAGTGTAGCGGTTCTCCTTCCCAGCGCCGTTCCCATGGTAACGTTTCCATTGTAGGTAATATAACGTCACTGCCTTCACATATGGGCCGTGATGCAACCCCGCGCCGAGCACTATGTCATTTGTCAAGGTTGCCGGGCATGACTCGTCAGCTGCCTTCCAAAATTCGAAGTCAAGTTGAACAGGAGGCATATTGCGACAAATGATCGGGAGGGGATTGGGCCGGAGAGAACTAAAAGTGTTGATGCTGAAGCCTGCTGTAAGTTTACCAATGTTACGAAAATTAAACCGAGACAATACGTGAACCCTTAACCTGCGATGTTCATTCAGCATTTTCTGGATTTAGTTTTCCACTGCAGCTTGTACAAAGCTGAATAATTTCCGGCAAACCAATCGGCAGTAACAGCACGACGCTTTGTACCTCGACCTTGTAGCGATTCACAGAGTATTACTACCCGATCACCGTCCGACTTTTACCAGAACTACAGAAACTACAGACTACAGAAGACTACAGAAACCAGACTACAGAAAAGTTAGGTAGTGCAAGCGGTTTACAATCCAACCACACAGCTACACACTTCGCAATGCTATCATGGCCGGTCAACGCCGTACAAAGTCAACTGATCATTCCAAGACGACGATGGATGGAGCTCTCGGTCACCCAAACCAGGCTACACGAGGTCGCTTCTCCGGACGATCAAATCTCCTCCCAAACAAGACTGCCTCCCACTGACCTTCTGTTGAGGCGGCCGGCCGACCGAATTCCATGGAATACCAGGTAGCCATTTCACAACATATTCTGCAGCCGGTCGTTTTGTAACTTTGCCAGCTTTGGGCTCGTAAGCAGCTGGGAAGCCCTCCACAGCAATGCAATAACATTGGCACGAGTCGGCCGGCCCGGGCTCAGACCGGTCACAGGTTGCCATGGTTACCAAAGGCCAGGGTCGCGGGTGGGCGGGGCGGATCCGATCAGGAGAACACCGGTCTAGAACGGGCGGAGGCCACCGACGTTGCCTAATAAAGCAGGGTTCAAGCCGGGTAGCGGTTCGTAGAAAACGGCCTGAGTGGCTCATAAAACCGACAGAGAGAAAAACATGTCCCTCCCAATGGTTGATACCTTGAAGGTAAGTGACGATATCACGGTAAAGAGGTCTAATGATTTCCACAACTAACCCCGAAAGTAGAAGCGACCATTAAGCACACTATCAATCATATCTAAATAAAAATTGGATGGGTTCACGCGAAGGCCATATTCGCAGCAGGCAGCGTCCGCTTTCGTTTGCTGTCTGCAGGCTGCCTGGTCCCCCAGCAGCCGGCCCTTGCAACACACACGTTGCAGCTGACGGGGTTCGCTCCCAGAGCCCCAGTCTGGCCCCCGGTGATCGCGCCGAGACTGCAGGGGCGCTGGCCAGACGCCCGGCGATAGTAAGGCGCCCGTCCCTCCGACAGTCACCGGTGAGCTCACTTGTGTGTATGTGACAGGGCACAGGGGAGGCCGATAACGAAAGGGTGGTGGTAAAATCCCAGCCCGGAGTTGACAGGGTGAAAACGGCAGCGCTAATGGAATGGATATACACAACAGCGCCGAAGGTAGGCTCAGTCAAGGACTCATCACTCAGCATCGATAGTGTGCTAAAAGACATCGGATAATAGCTCTGATGAAGCATGACACGGTTGGTCTGTTTGGCTGAAGTTATAGCGTAGTTACTAATCCGTTCAGCAAACTGTCCCTCCCACTTGAACATTGCCGTCACGAAGTCAAAGACTTCATCTTTCATCCATCAGCCGAGCATCGCGCCCTCCCTTTACTCGTACAGTATGTTTACAGTATACGTATCAGACAACAGTTCTTCAATGGCTCGCTGTCTGTCTTCTGTCGATCGCCTTCCGCGCAGCACGGGGACCACCGCCCACCACCGCTCGCTGCCGATCAGCTGGCGGCCGTCACTTTCAGTGTCGCCCCGACGTCGGCGGTGGATGGCGGCACGAATCCGGCTCTGGTGGCCCACTTAAAGCACCGCGCGCGCGCCCGAGACTCGACCGAGAAAGTCTCCAGCCGAGCCAGGGAAGAGCTGCAGGCTGCACAGAGCGCCCCCGGCAGGAGGGTGTCGAACAAAGACAGTCGGTCATATGCCGCCCACAAAGACGCGGACCCGGCTGAGTGGTGCGTGCGGGGTGACAGGTGTGGGGCGCAGGAGGGGATGAGGGGGAAAGGAGACGACGGTGAACCGTAAAAAGGACAGGATGTGGATTGTGGGTTCCGCCAGCGACCTATTTGTTAACGACTGCAATTTAGTCTGATCCCGATACTTTTTAGTTGTGCCGAACTGTCACCTCTTGCATCATGATCGAATTAAGAAAAAAACTATCCGTATTAACAGACAGGAATTGTTGCAACATAGAGAATCGGTATTACAAGAGAAGCACCCAGGACTCAGGGGCGCGGGAACTACTTTCCGACTGGGGGGGGGGGGGGCACGCCATAATAGAGATTAACCTAGGGTACCCCCAAATCTAGTTTTCTCACCGGTTTTAGGCCACTTATTTTTCACCCCTCGGCTTTTTCAACAAAAAAAGAAAACAATTGCAAAAAAGTGTGGTATTCCGTCTCAAAGCTGTGGGGGCACCGCCCCCACGGCCCCAGAGTTGGGGGGCAGGCTGCCCTGCCCCCACTGCCCCCCCCCCCGGCTCCCGTGCCTATGCAGGTGAATGAGCCTACTTGACACTAAATGCAATGCAATTCGCATATGCAACAAACGAGATCACAATACTAAAGATTTTGAAGCCAGACGAATGCCTACCATTAACAAGTGCGATTGGCTAATCGATTGCAACAATCGTCCCATAATCTGATTCTAGAAACTAGAAAGCGGAAATGTGACTTCTATATTACTCGCAACAATGAGGCAGCTTGCATCATTTTGCTCGAGTTCCGAATAACACCTAGGTCAATAATTTACCGAAACGATTTTCCCTTCAAAGATTGAATGACATATTGAGCGAATGCGCTCTCCTGTAAAAGGAATAAGGAATAGAGCTGACGGGAGACGTTTTATGCAAACGACCAAATCGGACTCCTTCAAAACTAAATTGGGCCGCATAAAACCTCAAGACCTCGATAACAAATTAACATCATTCTCAACCAATCACATGGCATACCAAGGTCCTTCCATCAGCTACACTAACCCCAAAAGCAAATAACCACCAGAGCCTCCAAAGCCGTCAGGGGCGGGTCCACAAACGAGAACGGAACGCCAGAATGCCAGTAATCGGCCCGGAATGGAGCCGAGCGAGGCGATCGGTCCTGGATGACCCGCGGCCATCGGCCTCGTCAGGACCGGAGAATCTGGTTCAGGGCCGCCGCGGCCGCCGGTGGCTCTCGCCCCGGGCGAAAACCGCACGGCGAACCACGCGGAACCGGGCTCCTCACATCACCGGGCGATTTATCGCACCAGCGAAAATAACCCGGCCGGATACCGGCAATCGTTTCGATTTCAGTGGGACGGTGGCTGACACAGTTGTCACTAATGCTGGCTTTTTAGGGTTTTGATAAAACTGACAAACTTGTGTTTGGTAAAGATAAATGTTGCTTTTATTAAAGTTTAGTTCACGTCGCTCAAAATGAAATGACGTGAAAAACAGCAATTAAAGACGTAATTGAGCAACTAATCTTTACGACTAAATCATGCTTAGAATACAACCAAGCCAGGTCGAATACGCGGAATCATTGACTTGTAACCTGCTCATTGACTTCCGCTTCCAGCTATTCATCGAACAATGCTAGTCAAATGGCCATTAGGATTTACCGGATATCTGTGTGGGAGCACTATCATTCGAACAGCTCAATGAAGATTCATTGCCTTGTTGACATCATCATCCCCTGAACTAAGTAAGATCCAACCTACTGATGCCTGGAAGTGCATCTCGAACATCGCTTTACCAGGTCGTGAGGCACACAACAAACCAATTAACACGCGGTTCACTGTTCTGATGCCTGTAAACAACCGTTCGCAGCCAATCAACCACTGGCTAAAGACGCTGTTTCCGCTCAATAAACCTCAATCCAGCAGCTATGTAACCCCTTTCATTTACCTCATCCTTGACGTTTAGCAACAGTCAAAATACACATATCTGGTTATATAAGTCACGCACTCTTCAATTTAATAAGATAAAAACTCCCTCTCCCGGGAATCGAACCCAAGCCGCCTCGGACTCACCTTCTCGGCAAGTGAGTATGTTGCGATTGCGGCCAATCCACGTGCGCAGCTCTTCCAGCGCCCGCTCGCGGCCCTGTTCGTCCTCGTTGAGGTCCAGGCGGGCCTTCTCGAGAACGCACGGGCTCAGCGGCCGGGCCGGCGCGCCCGTTTCCTCCGTGAATGGCAGCTCACACTTGCCCATGGTGGAGACCTGCAGATGGAGAGAAGCACGTTAGTGGTCGGCACGAGATCGGAGGAAAACACGATCGCTTTGCTGAGCGATCACGATATCGATTGGATTCCATCATCGCAAATGTATCGTTTATCCTTTAATCGTTGCGGATGACTCCTTCACATACTGTTGCAAAGCACGCAGACTTCTTTATTCCAACGTATTTATGATGTAGCTTCCATCATTGCTATATCCAATGTTTTGCATTTCACATTCCAACAAGCGGCAGCGATACGACAAGGCAGCGTCCATAAGGGACTGTTTGGACTGTTTGCATCTGCTTGGACAAAGTCCGTTCTAACGCAGAAGTCGGTCCCTGTTTGGATTCCACTCGACTGGGTGCGTGTAGCGCAAGTGTTTGATCGCTTGTCACGGCTCTCCGACAAAGTGACACAAGTGTCAACCAAGCTATCGTAGACTCATCGCGACGGAAAGCTGATACACCGCGTGAAGCTTGATAAAAAGTTGAAAAATAAGCTGGATATGTAAACATATGCATCGTCGCTGAGACGTAGCGTATCAACGCACTGCAGACAGCGGTGCACGACAGGCATTAAATGTCCACTGGAGTTGCATATCGTACCCGGAACATATACAAATGATTGTAGAATAGGTATGCCTAAAGGATAAATATCTGGGAGAGTCCTCGGCAAACACACGATCACGATTGTCACTTAGTGCGAGACGCTCCCATCCCTTACCGTCGCTCAGTAGTCAACCGCTCACAAACTGCCCCAGACTCAGATTAGATAATCATACGAGACGGCAGCGCAGTCCCACATCACTCAGCACATACCGGCCCGGACGGCCTCCTCTCGAGACGCTCCAGTGTCGGTCGCTAGCACGAGCGGCGCTGCTGAGTGGACAGTCTGACCTGGAAACCACACCGTCCGAGCCCCACCGCCGGCGATGCAACCGCTCCAGCAGTTCTGACCGCGCCGACTAACTGCTACTCTGGGTGGCGCCGGCCGTCTATTCTGGGCTCCGGACAGTGTGCAGCGGACGTTTCCGCACGAACTTTGATCAGTGGTAAAGGAAATCAATTAACTGATCAATGACTGGAAAATCTATTTTTACCGCGATTGGAACAGCCAGAATAGTGCAGCATGAGTGGATACAAATTGCATGTCCATTAAACATTGGTCGTAGGTAAACTAAATAATACTCTAAGAGTAACGGTAAAGTGAAGATCGCTTGCTAGATATAACGCAATTCATTTAACGGTGTATTCGGCGACAATCGAGACAATTATAGCTTGATCATTAAAAAATGGCTTAGATGTCCCATCAGAACCTCTCCTTTCGCGATAGTTTGTCACGCGTCGCACCGTTGTTGTGCCAAGAGGCAGGTGCGTGTCCATGAGAATACCACCGCCCGGTCGCCCCCTCCGTGAGGTGACGGCCGGCCCGCCAGACCCACCCGTGACCACCCACCGTGACCGGACCGTCAGCGGCGCGACACACGGCGCACGGCACGGCAGTCACGGACTCACGAGCGCGCACGGCCCGCCGCCTCCTCCCCGTCCCGTGACCTCGCCTGAGCTCGTCCGCTGGGAGCGTGCTCCGCGCACGCACGCCGGTCACAGATGGCGGTGGAGGGACGCCTCGGTCGTGCCCCCCTCCCCCCACTGGTCTGTTAAACGCGTCACGGACGATGATTTAGTGTCACGGTGAATCCCCGTGTCCATTCGGATGGTAGTGAAATCCTCGAATGGATTTTAAGTAAAAACAGCGTCGCTAAAAGGTTGTGAATGATGAATACCTTGCGTCCTTTTATGGACTAAAAACCAGGACAGTAGCTTGACAAGATGCTTTCACTATCCTTGAAGCTTGAGGCCTCTTGCACCAAAGCACCTAGATAGATAGATTCTGCAAATATTTTCTTAGCCAGCTAGCCTACGGTGGTAAATCGAAGAGCTCCTATCCTATCTTACTCCTATCAACTACTAGAACTCCGAACTCAACTACTAGAAATAAAATCTTACTCGGTCGACCTGAGGCCGCGAGGAGATGTGTCAGGGACGGTACCGAGCGACAAAGCGCTGGTGGAGAGCGAACTGTCGGCGTGACGCCTCACACCCAGTGCGTGCGGCGGCCGCCGAAATTTCACCCGGACACCACGGCTTCATGGGAGTCGGGACGGCGCGACAATCGGCGAGATCGGACCCGCTGATAATGAATGGAGCCGGGGAAATGGAAGAAAACGCAGAGACCATAGATAACAGTAGAGATCGGCTGGGCGAAATATAAAAATATTAATAAATAAAAAACAGCAGCATAGCGTGCTTTCGAAGTTCCTAACCGACGGCTTTTTGCTTCAGTTTTCCATGCATGGTGTGCCGTTTCAAGGTTAAAAACGACAATGATCAAAGAACAGTCGAGTGCCGAACAAAATACAATTTCATCATCAGGTTCTTAAATGGAATAAAATCAAGCTGACCGATGCAATCGGTCTATCTCTATATCCAAAGTACCCATCTATCATCTATCCATCAAAGGTCTATCTCTATATCCAAATACCCAAAGTTTTTGACAAGCGCCATGTGCTTACCGACTCATTATTCAGGGTTGTTGTGGGTAGTTAGAAATCGCAGCGACAGAAGACGCCAGCGGTGAGTGAGGCCCACCCCTGTTTGACAGGCGCCATCACTTACAGCACGGAATAATTACTCCAGCATCTGTCTCTATAACAACGGACAGCAGGAAAGTTGTCGATGACATGGCCTCCCACAACTCGTGAGTGGGTATGATTTTACTTGAGTCGCATTTCGTCATATGCCCTTTACGTTCTAACTACATCACGCCGTATATCCACATATCCACCTATACATCTCGAAAACTTTTAGCAAATTATTAAAAGCCTGAGCACTAATGCCAAATAATACTGCCTCTAATTTATATGCATTGTCTACACTCCGCTTTATCCAGCATCGCCTCATTTCATCGTTACTCTAACTTTCAAGAAAATCTATTCAGCATATTTTTTCTCCGGAAAATCCAGCTCTGACTATTCACGAATGGCGAAACACGGCTACTGACACTATGGCCAAAGAGGCCGTTCCTCCACCGCCAGTCCGTATAAGGCTCCGACACCGCGAGCTGACAGCGCGACAGAGTTTCCCAATACCTACAAAACTACAGAACAGGCGGGAGGTCTCCAGCTGATCACACGCCGTCGAGACCGTTTGCGGAATCGAATTGGAAAGGCGTAACCCACGCCTCGCACCCTCTCCTCTCTCTCTCTCTCTCTCTCTCTCTCTCTCTCTCTCTCTCTCTCTCTCTCTCTCTCTCTCTCTCTCTCTCTCTCTCTCTCTCTCTCTCTCTCTCTCTCTCTCTCTCTCTCTCTCTCTCGCACAGCCACCCAGCCAGACGGCGTGGCGTTGTGAATGACGAAACGTCCCGCCTCATCCACGCGTCTCCGTCTCCCGTCCACCTAGACCGCCAGGGTTACGGGCAGCTTCGCGGAGTATTGCATCACCCCTCCCCCCCACCACACCTGGCCTCGTGTCTGAGACGGTCCCTGCGCCTCCGGGCGTCTGCGTGTGAGGGGGGGGGGGGGCAGGAGGTCACCCAGAAGTACGCTTCCGCGTCCCGACGCGCCCGGTTAGGCTCCTTCCCGTGCTCCGGGGCACGTATGGCCATGACGCTCCCCGATCGGCACGGGACGCTTTTTGCAGGACCACCGCCGCAGGAGGGAGTCTGACTCAGGTGAGGCTGCGAGAAGAAGAGTCACAAAGGTGAGAGGAGGGAGGTCAAACCGCTAAGGTGTTAGGAAGACCGAGGAGCTGGGGCAGGTAAGGTGAGAAAGGGAACTGACAAGTAAGGAGGGAGCTGGCTCGGACAAGACGTTACGAGGGATACAAATAAGACAGTTGGTTGTGTAAGTAATAGCTCTGGCGATGTCGCATTCAACCTGTGGGGGCACGACAGCCGGCCAGAAATGGTGGCAGCGGCGCGGCCGGGCGACAGGCACTGAGAGAGATAGTGGACCGATATCTCCTTTGGGTAGAGAACGGTTCGGCAACAGACGGGAGTGATGTCAGAGTGCTGCTCGTTTGGCCATCTGCTCCCGGACTAATTTGCTTAAGTAGAAAGAGAGGGAAAACCGGATGACATCACACGGCGATAGTAAAACGCCTCGGACACACAAAGGTTCGATACAAGTCCTCGGTGCTGCCAGCTTGCTAATTTGGATACACAAATAACGATAAATGCAATTGAGCATGGGGCTGACGATTGGACCCGTTATGCCTACATATAACGAAACAAAAAGCGACTACAAGAAATAAACGGGGTGCACACGCCCCACAGGCATAAATACATCGCCCCCACGCTGTACTCGTATGATATTCGTCAGACAAAGAACACTTAGCTGCAGCCGTATGTTTCGCGCGAACTGATCTTCGGCTGCTATACTAAGGGAAAATGACCTGGCCTCTGGGGTTTTAGAGCATTGTTCCTGTTGCGAGTCTTCATAAGTAACGCAAAATAACCGCTTAGCTTTACTTATGATAATAAAACCTTGCTTTCTCTGCTGCTAAAAATAGTAGGCACCATCATTGTTCACTTCGACCGCGCCGTCGACCCCCGGCCACAAGGCAGCCATCCGGCGGATGGGCCGGGCCGATTTCGATCGGGACCGCCGCCCGCAAACGGCCGCAACTCTTCCGTTTCTCTGCACACAAACAGTCCCAGATGTGTACCACCTCCTAACACCGATCCCGCACGTGACGAGAGCACCTTTGTTCCCTGCGACGGCGGCGACCGGTGCGGCAGCGACACGTTCAGAGGGACGCCATAACAACGGTTCGTTTGTTAGGGTCTTGTCCCCAAAGCAGCCCCCCCCCCCAAACAGCGAAGGCACACAGCACAGTGAGTAAGACGGAACAAACGACACAGGATCCAGGTAGGCGGCACTGTGTGACTGTGGCCCCCGCCTCGCCCCGCTTGGTTCGTGTGAAGGTCAATGAAGCCGGAAGTGTGGCGCCGCGCCGCCGCCTGTAGTTAGGGGGTTGAGTGGGAGGGCAGGGCTCGTGATGGAACGCATCACGGTACAGGATGGGATGATAGGATGACGGCGGGCCGACGAACCCGGTGGAACGTATCACGCTACAGGGTGGGATGATAGGATGACGGCGGGCCGACGAACCCGGTGGGACGTATCACGCTACAGGATGGGATGATAGGATGACGGCGGGCCGACGAACCCGGTGGGACGTATCACGCTACAGGGTGGGATGATAGGATGACGGCGGGCCGACGAACCCGGTGGGACGTATCACGCTACAGGATGGGATGATAGGATGACGGCGGGCCGACGGACCCGGTGGAACGTATCACGCTACAGGGTGGGATGATAGGATGACGGCGGGCCGACGAACCCGGTGGGACGTATCACGCTACAGGGTGGGATGATAGGATGACGGCGGGCCGACGAACCCGGTGGGACGTATCACGCTACAGGATGGGATGATAGGATGACGGCGGGCCGACGAACCCGGTGGGACGTATCACGCTACAGGGTGGGATGATAGGATGACGGCGGGCCGACGAACCCGGTGGGACGTATCACGCTACAGGGTGGGATGATAGGATGACGGCGGGCCGACGAACCCGGTGGGACGTATCACGCTACAGGATGGGATGATAGGATGACGGCGGGCCGACGGACCCGGTGTGCCCAGCCCAGCGTTCACCGGTGCCCAACGCAGCGTCAGGCTGACACAGCTGTATGTTTCCCATGCAACCAGCAACAGAAGCGAATTCAGTGGGCAGTGGCAATGCACTGGTGGCGGGAGCAGTGCCACAAGGCATTTCGATACAACATTCCAGCCCATGTTTTCTAGGACAGTGGCTTGACAGTTGACGTTGCCTTAGCAAGTGATGCATAACGCTATGCAGCTAGGGAGTGACGGTCAATGGGCAGCGCAGTGGTCCCGTGACTAAATAAGAGAACAATCAGAACTGCGCGGCGGTTAGTGCAATAGGCGGTATGACAGGTCAACGAAAGACTGAAGAGGCTACGACGCTTTACACCCTTACTGCGTAACTGAACATCTAGCATAACCAGTTTGAACCTTAGTCGCAACGGGCGCCTGAACAATAGGCACCGTCGTCTGAGACTGGTAGGTATTGTGCGCAGTAGATCTTTTAACTCCTGATTGCCACACGCAGGTGGCATGTTTATTAATCCCACCCAGAAATGACAAACAATGCCTCTGATTGGCCAGTTTTGGCTGACAGACGCAGAATATTTGTCAGCAATAGAATACTATGCTTTAGCACGTTTTCAATAATGACGCATCCGTTACATTTATAGGTTAGGGCAGCTAAAATATTGTAATGGATCTAGCATGTTAAATATAACATTTTTGGAAGCCCGTACAGATTGTTTCTAGTGAGTTAGGTGTTACAAAGTATTAAAAGAAATGATTGTTATCTGTTAAATAAAGAACAAAAGCTTTTAGCTACTAACATCCGCCTGACAGTCTCCAGAATCCTGCGTACGGGGACACCGCGGTGTCTGCTTCTCATGTTATCGCAATGGGGAAAAATTGAAATTTTAAATGAGTCAGTATCGTGTTAAGAAGTACTGATGCTTTCAAAACTAAATGCCTTTCAATTCAAATTCCAGAATATCCTTTCGCGGAAATAGCCCTTCTCAGCCTGTCTCTTAACGCTACAAGTCTGAACAGTGAGCGTCTCATGCGTTGCTCACGTATCGCGATAAAAAGGACGGTGTCATATAATCAAATGAACTTTTCTTATGCATAGAGCATTTGAAACCTCACACCAAACGCCTCCCTTCCTTGTTTTCCACTGCTGCCTTTCACATACCTTACCTAGTACCTACCCAATGACCGTTCCAGCTCGACGTTCCTTATCGACTGCCTCACATTCAACGGCCATATCCCACCTACGCTGAAAACCAATCGGAGGCACTTTCAATCGTCCCTTGAATAAAATTGCTACCTACACGCATTTAGAGGAGAACGAGGCCCAGAAAAGGCGTGCATAAAACGATCGGTTTCGGCCCCCATGGAATAAGCCAGGAGGTAAAATCACATTGATTGAAGAACATTTTCGAGGACATGATATCTATCAGATATTATTTTGCAAAGGTATTGTGAACATAACGTCCGCGTATCGCAGCTCTGAATCTGCTGGTGTCAGTCCCATGCAGCAGCCACCGGACCACTGCCCCGCCGCCTGCCGTTCGCTGATCATACAGGCCGGCTGTCCCAGTGTCTCATCAAACGATCACAGCTGACTCATTATTTATAAAATGCCAAACAAAAACAGACACCCAATATTATAGATCACGCCAGCTCTTTCAGTCATGCGCGTGGAGATATATCGGTAGTTTTCCTATCACAGATCACACTGAACAGAAGAAAAGCGTACACACGCAGCAATAAATAATGCATTATCAAGTACACCGATCGATGCATCGTGGAATACACCGAAAAAATACATCACTGCTTTAACGTTCCCCAGGTGGGTGGGCCGTGGGGGCGTTTTTGGTCACACCTGACAATTTTGTGCTTGCATAGATAAAACGACACGAAACTTAGTATAGCTTATGTATAATGCATCGATTCGCATCAATTGTGAAAAAAGTAACCCCATGTCACCTAAGGTCAGGTCAGGTCACCATGAAGTAGAAGTTTGAAACTCGAGCTATTGCATGAGAGAATCAGTACCAACATCTTGAATATCTTTAATTTTGATATCGGTGGTGACCTAGGGTCAGGTCAGCTTTGCGACGTCTCCAGTTTCAGTCAGTATGAGGAACTCGAAATGTTCTGCTTTTGAAACAAAAGCACTCAAGCATCGGGATCTATCGTATGCTCCTGAGGTCATCTCAGGTCATGTAACGCCTCCCAACAGTTTATTTTTGTACATCGATTTTAGATGGAACGTGGCCAGAGCGCTAAAAGCATCATAATCATAGGCGGCGGAACAGGCCGAGGGCACCGGGGCACCGTGCCCCCTTTGATTTCGGCATTTTAACATTAGCCCTATGGGCGTTGCATGGAAAGAATGAGACCAAAAGTCGGCAATGCCCCCTTAATTGAAGGTGTTCCGCCGCTACTGATGTTAATCTCAATTTCAATGTAACGAATCAATGACATGCAAAATGGCATTTTCTGCGACATTGACCTGAGGTCAAATTTATTAAGCTGACCTTGTTAGGCCAAGAAGACGAGAGAAACGCAGTGCTGGTAAAATCAACGTAATAAAAGGTTGGTATCAGTTAAAAAAAAAAGAAAGAAAAGACGACTTCCGAAGCAAGCCGATTGTTCAGTTTTTGCCCTTTGGAGGCTTAACCCTAGTTGACCTTAGCTCAAATCTGACAACCTGAAAGATTTTCGAAAGAGCTATCGAATTCGCTTTTCCGCGGCGCTGTAGCTTCTTTGGTTCCCGAATTATGAACCAATTTGTGAAGTTGTCAAAATCGGGGGCCAAAATTCGTCATCATTTTACTTTTGGTGACCTCCAGTGACCTCAGCGATGACCTGATCAAAAATGACCTGTATGATTCTGAAGAAAAATAGCGATCTATAGATTGATTTTACTGCGTCTTTCCAGCTTTGCTACATTCCAAGATAACCTGGTGTGGCCGAATACACCTCCCCCCCCCCCCACCAAGTTGGCTGAGGGCCACCCGGGCGCGGGTTAATAACATGGCGCAACAGGTTTTGTTATCAACTTGTCCTTTTCACACATAGGCGACACTAGATATCACAGCCAACGCCTATCACCAAACTGGTGGTGGGCTTTGGCCAGCGATCGCCGATCGGGGCCAACGCGGGCTCTTACTCGTCCACAATCAGCAAGAATGATGAACTACAGCTGCTCCAGACCGGCCACTTCAATCCAGCGTGTAATCTTCAGTCCACATCAGAACCACTAGTGAAACTCTACTGAGTGGGCCAACTGCACTGCATCTTTGACCTCCTTTGCAGCTCTGGCTTTTTAGAATTTGAACAGCCTTCTCTTTCCCACCCTTCTGTGCTGATGAATGATGATCCTTTGGAAACCTGGAAAAAGACAGTACAGACTCAGGGAGATGAAACTGTCTTGCTATGGGTCTGTTCCAGTCGCACTTCCTAACACATCTAAACTCCTCAAAGAGTAAGATAGAGGAGGTTGGAGCAGGGCCCTTCTTGGCTTTGTAGGGGCGAAAGCTGCCACTGGAACAGGGAAGCAATCTTGGAGGAGTTAAGAGGTGTTAGGAAGTGCGACTGGAACAGACCCTATGACAATGTCTGTGCATAGAGCAAGCAGATGGTAGAAGTGGTCAATTGGTGAGTGGAACAAATGCAGATGTCAGGAAAGCAGTCATATTTTGTGATAGACATGATGCAGATGTTGGCCAAGCTGACAAAGCAGATATAATTACCAGCTTGTTATACTAGTCTATAACTCATCATATTTTCATGTTTAACAGAGGGAATATAATGTAAAAAAAAAGCCTTAGCCAGATGAAAGTAGATAATATAAGTTCTATAGAAAAATGTTTATGCAAGTAATGTAGGATTTGTGGTTTTTAGAGGCTAGGTAAATGTGTTCCCTGTTCAACAATTCTTCAGCATTCAGACATTGATGTCAATGTACAATGTACATGCATCAACATACCTGTTGTGAAGTGATTCTGGGCTGCTTTCCTGAGCAGTTGATGGCCACCACTGGAATCTTAAAAACACAGCTAATTTTTTCCATTTTGTTAACTATGACTGAGGATCTTCTGTGCTGAAAGAGAGATAGACAATAGACATCAGCTGATAGACATTGTACAATGTACAACTCATTTGTGAAGCAAGATCAATTCCATTTAGGGGTAGGTCATAGGATAATGGTGACATGAATGAATTTCAGTTTTCACTTTTCACCAGTCCAGGTACCTGGTGACAAAATGAAATATTGTAGGAGGTATCAATGATAATGTTTCTGGTAGAAAATGCAGGCATTTTAGAATTCAGTTGAAGCTTTAGATGGAGGATTTTTGGAAAATATTTGCCACCAATAACATTGGAATTTGGAATCTCAGAAACAAAAATCAAATCTTACTTGATGTCAAAAACAAATCAAACTATTACCATTGAGCACCAAGCAGCATGCTGAGTAGTCATTCACTAAGACATATGCATGTTACACATGGCTACAGTACTTTGAAATAGCTTTTATAAAATGTATGCACTCATGTAATCTTAACATGTAAAATGTCAGCTAAAACTTGTTTTACACTAAACCTGCTAAGCCAAGAAAAAAAGATAAATATGAGAAGCCCAAAACAAGTTATTGAAAATATAAACACAGGTAACGTTACAACAAAACTGAGTCAAAACACTCAAAACTAAGTGTTTCAATGAACGCAAGATTAATGTGTGTCACAGAAGCAGCTGTCCACTGTAAAGCAGAGTGGGCACAGCATGGTGAAAGCAGGAAGTGGTGCACAAAACTGAATTAAGAAGAGTGCCCGACGACACAAAACCCATGTAATGGAGGGACCTAATAAAATTGTATTGTATTGTATTGTATTGTAACTGTATCTACCTACATCCCTTTACATGTAGGTACTTACAAAATTTGAGCACAATCAGCCAAAACTTAACTGTGAAGGAGGCCATGCCCACTCGCACATGAGAGGTGTGCAAAAACATGCCTGTAATACCTTATGCCTAGATAGTAGATACATAATGATGAAAATGTGTTGTGTCTGTGTGCCTGTTTAGTGGCATGACGTGAGTCGTGACATGACTATTATCAATACCTGACAGTACAATTATCATGATATTATCATTATTGCAATTGTAATAACAAATGATCAATTGAACTTTTCTTCTCACTTTATATAGCCAAAATACCTGAGATTTTTAATATCAAGTTTGCGTACTCCAAAATCGTAACTTCTGCTTCCTCCAGTACTTTATAAGTTTGCGCAAGACTATTATCCATTAGATGTAGGGACGATCATGACCATTTGACTAAAAAATGGTTCACTTGGTTCTTACAAGCCTGTTAACTCACTACACAAGGGGAGGGGGCACTGCAAAAGGGTGTGGAAATCGCCACATTTGTCTCATGATGTTTGATGCATAATAATCGGCATCAAAATATCGTCGTATTAGTATGCAAGGTCACCAAAGAATGAGCAAACGTTATTTATCAAATATCAAAGGAAATTGGCAATATCTAGCACAACGAAACACATAATTCAACACCTAACGATGCCTACCGAGTCCCCGATACCACCATGGCGACCAAGTGGCGACCGCTCAAGTCCAACTGGCCGGCAACTGGCCAATCAGGGAGCTTGTTTGTCATTTCTGGGTGGGATTAAAAAACATGCACGCAGGTGCACCGCCATACATAATAGTTAATACATATACAATAAACAATTACAGACGCATCGGTGTTGCACATTAACGTGTACCTACATTTGTTAGTCACCATGATAAGCGCTGGTGAGTTAGCGTTGTGGTGGTGGGCTGGACTTTTTGTCCGCCACAAATTCAGCTACGCAGGACCTATCCTCATGTGCCTGACGAATAACAGCCGTGACACAAATGTCACAAATCACAACACAATAGCGCTCCTAAATGGCACCAATGACGGAACAATTAGTGCCATTTGGTGTTCAGTACGCCACGGAGCGTTGGCTGTCCTCAACGTGTCCTGACCTTGGCTGGACTCTTGTTTACGATATATTGCGGAATCGGCCGGTCGGCCGGCCGACGTGAGGCCGCCCGAGGCCACTCTTTGTGTGAACAGTGGGAGGACAGTAAACAGACCCCTCGCGCTGTGTGCGTGCGTGAGTGTGTGTCCGACGACCTCCCCGGCCGTTGCCGTCTGTCGTGAGGACCGTCGCCTCACATGACAATTGAGTCATGTTGGGAGAAAATGTGGACAAATAGTGGAAGTGTTGCCAGGGGCGGCGCCACGGGTTTTCGATAGGGGGGACGGGGACCTGCCTGATCGAAAATCCCAAAAGTAGATACTGATCGTGTATGCAAAAAAAAAAAAAACGAGGCACGTTACGCCGCGAAACTTGGTAAAGCCCAAAACACATCGAATGGTGCATCCCGTTTCCAAACTTATCCTAGGACACCTAAGATCGATCACCTTTTCAAGCATCCTTGCCTCTAAATCAAAATTTGCAGTCTTGCCAACTCAAAGCTGGTTTCCTACAAGCTGCGAATTACTTAGGTATGATGAGTAGCAGTGCCAACCATTCTTACGTTTCGTACTTTCAAATTTTCAATCTTACGTCTGGTCAGCTTCATGGCTTCACCATCATTATATAGTCATGGAGGAAAAGTGGGAATGTCTTCTGCTCTGACAAGTGCGCCAAAACTGCAATATAATTTCAGAATCATGACATCACCACCACCACCTGATCCATATGCAACGGGCAGGGTGCAGCTAATGGCTAGCCGTCAGTGGTCATGTCATCGGTGGTCACTCAAAAGGTCATGCTAGGTCATGGAAGGTCACCAGCCATTATTTGATCACACTTTCTGATGGATTTTACTTACCAAGAGCTTCGCGGGAAAAACGAGCGCATGCATCGTTGAAAAAAAAAAATGCGTGAAAGGGTCTCAGGTCCGGCGACCTCTGCAGGTGAAATGCCCCAGGGTAGGATTCCGATTTTCACAGCCGCTGACGTAAGAAGGGGAGTGGGGGGGGGGGGGGGTTGGCTCGATTAGACCCCCAGCCGTTCGGTCGCCGACCGAACTTAGTTTTGCAGAAAAAAACGAGTGCTATCGAACCCCTTGACAAGAGGGAGCCGATGCTACCCAATTATAAGGTCTTGGGCTACTGCGTGCTTTTTTTGGTCCTACCTGTGATCTATCCGAACACTTCTCCCCACAAGTGCTGGGGTTAAATGGCATAGATTTCAAATGGTTCCTGTGGTAGAACTGCCATGCTTGAATTCGACTAATTAGGAATGGAAAATATCCATATAGTAGCGGAAATCTATGGAATTTCAGTAAACTTGGTTTTGTCGGCAATGGGGTCTGGCAGTGGGGTGGGGAGGTAATAACCCTGCCTGGCGCCCCAAAAAGGGGGGGGGGGCACGATCCCCGAGGCCCTGCCGATCACCTTATAACTACAGGCATCACAGCTCCACACCTTTTGCAGATGGCCAGGACCCCCTGCGATACATCACAACAGCAATCTTTATTCAGAACCTGCCTTGATTAACCAACGATGCATTAAATGCGACGGATAACTCTACAATGCATTATTATCAACTATTGAACGGGACTCGCCGATAGGGGGTACTGTACCCCCCTAACTTTCGATAGCGGGGGACCTGTCCCCCCCGTCCCCCCCGGTGGCGCCGCCCATGAGTGTTGCACATTACATTACTTTGAATTTGCTATCTTACCCTACCAAGCCGTCATTCCGGACCGTAATTGGCGCGATGATGACAAGTGCAATGAGTTCCGGCAATTTACGACAACAACTACCGAAACACAAATCACTTAATTCCTTACAGTCGTTGGATAAAAGCATGTAATTCGACAGTTTGCAGTCCCGGGTTAACGTCCAGTCGCATCCACATCATATCCGTCATCACCACAGTCGACAGGAAGTTATTATCGAGGGTAGCGTGAGCGAGTAGTAAAGTAATCTTGGCGTGAGCAACCAGTACTCCGGACCTCACTAATCGGCGTCACACAAACAGCGGAACGTCACTGCGTCACATCACATCACTGAGCCCGTCACGGTCCCAGTGACATCCGGTGACATAGTTGACAGGTCAAACATGACAGAGCGAAAATGACTTGTCATACTGCAGCGAGTGAGCTCGAGCATCCCTGGACTTCAGGCGCACATAACCCTGGATATGAGGCGTCCTGAATTCCTGATGATGATGATGATGATGAATTGGGGATTTTGGGCGCCCGGACTACAGTGGTCATCGGCGCCCATGTCCTGAATTCCTAAACGCCGCAAACGGCAAGCCTGAATTTATCCACAAATACAGTCTTACAGAACAGATACGTTATCAGATATCGGTCCGACCTGGAAAGAGGTCATTCCTCGAACGACTGTGTACCGCACTGTCGTAAGGCGGCCCCACTCCCCTGTCGTTACCGTAAGAGCACGCGCGTCTCATCGGTCCCCCGTGTCCGTCGCTCACTCTCAGCGATCGATCCCGGAGGGCTGGGACGCGACGAGCAGCCTACCCCACTAGAGCGACCGGGACAGACGTCTTCGATGTCGAGTACGCACTAAAGAAATTTTCTAAACCTGTTTAATTTTCATATCAATCAACCACATTCTAGACCCATTTGGAAACTGAGACTGTAATACAAATGATGTATTTATATCGAAAAGAGACAAAGGTAGCCAGTCAGCATACAGAGACTGCGGTCTGTGGGCCGTAAATCCGTCAGCTCTACGCACAATACGCAGTTGGCCCGAGGCCAACGACCCCGGGCAGGGGCGGGGGCGTAAACAGGGGGGGGGGGAGGAAGAGAATAAACAGCTGCGAGGGGAGGCCGTTGACTGACGGCGGAGGCGAGCCTTGCGGCCACCGCACAAAGCGGGCAAGTCAGCGACTAAGAGCGCTCCATGCATGCAATAGAATGGGCCATACACTAATGGTGTGATTTATGAATGAATGAAATGCGTGTTATTGAAAAGGTTTCTTGTCGTGAGTCTTTTATCAGTCTCCATCAATACTCCATACGGCATTAGTTATCATTTATCAATTTAGTATGGCTGCTACCCAGCCAACCCGAGTCAGTTGCATGGCCTTGCTCTTGTCTTTCTGCTGCCACCACAAAATCTGTCACCGTCTTTCGACTTTCGGATGGACCATCGGCATTAATCAAATCCACAATTTGCCAGGTTACACCACGCCGCCTAATCACGAAATCAATGGAAACTCAACACAATCCTCTCTTTCCCAGGCAATCGACTAGCGAACTCCTCTTCATAGTCTTCATAGTCATAGTCGATCCCACGGAGAACAATGACAAATGCCAGGACATCGTAATCGGTTACATCAGACCCAGGGTCACTGAAATTAACGAACTACTCTTTCTCTTCTGAGATTATTCGGTTCACATTGCGAGGATAAAGACCACGATCCTTTGTACCCATCGATTCCGTGAGTCAATATCAATTATCGAGATACTACAATCGCTAAGATTAATGCATCTTTTCCAAAGAGATCCAAGTCAGGCGGGCTATATCACCCCCTTCAGGCGCTTCTATGAACTCTCTTGATTCAGTGGGTCAGTGCATTTCAACTCGCGAGGTAGGAAACCCTCTCTTTTTCTCCTCCAAACAAGCCCGCGTCAGGTGAGCGCGAACGGACCGCGCCGGCGCAGACAGATCTGATTTGCCGCACGGTGGTCCGTCCGTTGACGAAACCCCCTGAGACCCGTCTTTGACATCACTTTCACTGAATCGCTAAACGCCGCGCTGGGAACGGTCCGACAAACGGTGTCGTAGCGAGTGACACAGCCAAAGGGAGGACATCTGCTAGTTTTTATCAATCGCAAACAGCAGCTGCTGTATTGGATGGGGACTGAGGAGCGAGCTGAACGCACAGATATAGCACGTTTGGAGTCAGGACAAGAGAAAAAAGAGCGCCGTTACAGAACAATAGGTTACAGTGGGCATAAAAAGGGCAATGGGAAACAATTGAGAAACAATGGCCATTGATGCATACGAGACACCGAATGCAGCGAGCGCACGGGTAACGTGCATGAGCTTGCCATTTCCCCATCACTTTACTTTACAGTGTGATCAATGCGCTAGGCGCATAAGTGACTTTTTAGACATCATGCATGGCATGTGCGCACATTTTGTCCCTGGAAGATAAATCGAGCGGTGCAATTTTAATCAGGGACGAGCTCAAGGCCTGTCTCTAGTAACTGGATGCAGTAATGACCTCGCCGACAGATCCCAGACTCCACCGAGTTGCCTACCCAGTTGCTTTGTATGAAGGGAGCTAGCAGATGCCCTATACCCTCTGACGCGGGGCCAGAGATGTACCGAAATGCCGTGCTTTCCGTCTCCTGCGCTCAATAATATAAACGCCGTGGAATGGATATGGCAGCACCGGCTGAAGTTCAGCTGCAGCAAACGGCTATCAAATGCAAAATGGTTTAACGCACTTCAGTCCATCGTATGTTGACGGTCCAATCATTTCGTTGACTTGGATAACAGTTAGTCGGCACCAGAATCACTGTAAATGTTACCAAATGCCGTGAATAGAATAGTACGGCATTTGATCAGATTGGACCCTGGGCGCTGTATTTACATTCGCGAGTCGTGACATTTTTCGGGCACGAAAACTCTCCAACGAAAAAAAAGTCCAAACCAAGGCACTATACCTTCGTGAGACGATGACGAATCTGTTCCATCGATTGTCCGTTCACGGTCCCATTCCAGCAAAGAACCAGTCATCCCAACAATGTCTCGCACCGCATTTCTGACCCACTAACATCAATTTCTCTTCAAACATTTTTTGTAACATCTTAAAGAAATCCATGAAATAAAGGAACTGAATCGGCTTGACGAGGAACGATTTGCAAAAATTGTGACTAGAGGTTTTTTAGATCAATCATGGAGACTTTTCAATGCATATAGCTATTACAGCACTGCACAAAGCACAATCAACGCTGTGTATCAATTTGTAACGCCCCATCAAAAGGATTCGATATCGCGTGGCACTCCGAAAATCTATGACAGGTTCACGGTGATCCCACTCCCAACTCTCGGGAAGCTTGCAACTCGTAAGAGCCTTTTCACGACTCACGGCGACTCACCCTAGAACCCTTACAAGCCAACTGTGACCCATTCACGGATCAAGGTCCTCTCACGACTCACGGAATCTCCTTACAATCCAAGCACGACTCACGGATTCCTCTTACCGAATCACGAAATCCAATCACGGCTCACGGGAGGCGAGCAGAGGTCCCACCCGACCTGGATCCGTCCCGGCACCGGGCACACCCAGGCGCGGCCGGGCCGTCGGGACGAGGTATGTGTGTCAGTCTGTCGGCCAGGATCGGTATCCAACGGCCGAGAACGGGAACAACGTTCACTGATAACTGTCCGTTTGTGACTACTGAGGTCCAAAACGGGTACCGACAAAACGGATAATTTAGAGGAGCAAACGGAGTACCGATCGCACTGAGCGAACGATCACTCGGCGGGAATCCAGCGCCACAGTGGGTTGCTACAGATACGGCATTGCCGCATTCGTGTCACCGGAGCGTGACGCCCCTTTCGTTTTCATTCCGGGCCAGGTCACCCACAAAACGCCGGCATGGCAACAACCAGAGGGCTGTTCACGGGCCCTGTGTGCGGTCGGACCGCACACAGCCTCAAAGCTCCGCCCACTTCGTCCCTACGTCAGCCTTCCGTCACCGCACACAGCGATCGCTGTGGCCGGTCGGGACTGGCCACAGCGGACCGTCCACCGCACGCAGCCGTGACGTCAGAGCCGCCTACCCATCCCCTACCCCTACGCCTGCTGGACGCACCGCACACAGCGCACGCAGCAGTGTGCGGTGCCCGTGAACACCCCTCTGGTTTGCCTCGAGAACGTCAGCGCGAACCTCGGGAAGGCCGAAGGGACCGTACCTTTGATGTTGAGCGGACAGTGGTGGGTCCAGTCGATCCCTCGTTCTTAGCACGGGGAGACAGTATCTCGGAGCGGTAGCCCGGCTCCCACCCCACACCACACCAAAGGGTCCACTGGAGCCGCCGGTGCCGACGGACGGAACAGCTGACGGCAGCAGACAGCCCGGCGGAGCTGCTGACACCTAGCGGCCGCGACGGCAAACAGCCGGGAGCAAAGGAGCGGGGCTACCGACATCTATCGACGGAAACAGAACCTCTGGTGTAGACGAATTCCTCGGTATGTGCGAGCAGCAGCAGGAGCAAAGATTACGTGACAAAAGATCGTAAGACAAAAGATCTCATGGAAAAGGATCGTAGGAAAATGATCGTAATATAAAGATCGTATGTCGCAAAAGATCGTACGACCAAAGATCGTAAGCAAAAGATCGTAAAGCAATGGATCGTATGAAAAAGATCTTAGAAAATGCATCGATAAATCAATAGCATTTAGCAATCCTATAGTTTGTTTCAAGATTTGCATTTTGCAATCGTGGTTGCGGAATATCGACAACATTTTAGGAGCAAAAGGTGGTGCCGCATTTTTTTGTCCTCCAGCCCCCACCCCCTCCCCTACCCGGCGCCGCGAGTGGAATAACGAAGGACACCACAGGTCTAACAGAGGCACCACAGGCCTGGCAAGGGCATCATCAGCCTCGCAGGGACACATTGGGCCTGTCAGGTGCACCAAGTGCCAGTCGGGGGCACTTCAGGCTTGTCACGGGCACCACAGTCCTGTCAGAGCCCAAGGGCACCAGCAACCTAGAAGGGGCACCACAGGCCTGCCAGGGGCACCACCACAGGTTTGTCAGGCACCACCGGCCTCGCAAGGGCACCATGGGCCTGTCAGGGCCTGTCACCACCAGCCTCTCGTTGGCACTTCAAGCTTGTCAGGAACACTACAGGCCTGCCAGGACCCATGTGCAAAAAAAAAAAACTGAAAATAGGGCAACACCTAAATGAAGTGGTCGAAACCAAAATTCGAGATCCGCTGAGCTTTTTTATTTTGGGTATAAGTAGGGGCACCACTTCGATTCATGACCCTCCCCTAGGAGTTTTCCTGGATCCGCTCCTGTACAGTCTGTCTTAAAAGTACCGCGCAAAGTGACTGTGGATCCATCAAGCCTGACTGAGGAAGGGCCTGCTATAATTTTAAAGTCACCGAACCATTGGACCTGGGGAATGGACGAGGATGTCCATTGCTTCGGTGGCTCAAATTTAACAGTCCTTCATCGGCCAGGCTTGATGGATCCACCGTCACTTTGCGCGGTACTTTTAAGACAGACTGTACATGCGTGCTTGTGCACCTGGGGGCTTTGGGGTGCCCCTTTTGGGATGCAGAAGTAAGGGATGCAAAAATGATATACACATCCACACCCAGGGGCGGCGCCACGGGTTTTCGATAGGGGGGACGGGGACCTGCCTGATCGAAAATCCCAAAAGTAGATACTGATCGTGTATGCAAAAAAAAAAAACGAGGCACGTTACGCCGCGAAACTTGGTAAAGCCCAAAACACATCGAATGGTGCATCCCGTTTCCAAACTTATCCTAGGACACCTAAGATCGATCACCTTTTCAAGCATCCTTGCCTCTAAATCAAAATTTGCAGTCTTGCCAACTCAAAGCTGGTTTCCTACAAGCTGCGAATTACTTAGGTATGATGAGTAGCAGTGCCAACCATTCTTACGTTTCGTACTTTCAAATTTTCAATCTTACGTCTGGTCAGCTTCATGGCTTCACCATCATTATATAGTCATGGAGGAAAAGTGGGAATGTCTTCTGCTCTGACAAGTGCGCCAAAACTGCAATATAATTTCAGAATCATGACATCACCACCACCACCTGATCCATATGCAACGGGCAGGGTGCAGCTAATGGCTAGCCGTCAGTGGTCATGTCATCGGTGGTCACTCAAAAGGTCATGCTAGGTCATGGAAGGTCACCAGCCATTATTTGATCACACTTTCTGATGGATTTTACTTACCAAGAGCTTCGCGGGAAAAACGAGCGCATGCATCGTTGAAAAAAAAAATGCGTGAAAGGGTCTCAGGTCCGGCGACCTCTGCAGGTGAAATGCCCCAGGGTAGGATTCCGATTTTCACAGCCGCTGACGTAAGAAGGGGAGTGGGGGGGGGGGGGTTGGCTCGATTAGACCCCCAGCCGTTCGGTCGCCGACCGAACTTAGTTTTGCAGAAAAAAACGAGTGCTATCGAACCCCTTGACAAGAGGGAGCCGATGCTACCCAATTATAAGGTCTTGGGCTACTGCGTGCTTTTTTTGGTCCTACCTGTGATCTATCCGAACACTTCTCCCCACAAGTGCTGGGGTTAAATGGCATAGATTTCAAATGGTTCCTGTGGTAGAACTGCCATGCTTGAATTCGACTAATTAGGAATGGAAAATATCCATATAGTAGCGGAAATCTATGGAATTTCAGTAAACTTGGTTTTGTCGGCAATGGGGTCTGGCAGTGGGGTGGGGAGGTAATAACCCTGCCTGGCGCCCCAAAAAGGGGGGGGGCACGATCCCCGAGGCCCTGCCGATCACCTTATAACTACAGGCATCACAGCTCCACACCTTTTGCAGATGGCCAGGACCCCCTGCGATACATCACAACAGCAATCTTTATTCAGAACCTGCCTTGATTAACCAACGATGCATTAAATGCGACGGATAACTCTACAATGCATTATTATCAACTATTGAACGGGCCTCGCCGATAGGGGGTACTGTACCCCCCTAACTTTCGATAGCGGGGGACCTGTCCCCCCCGTCCCCCCCGGTGGCGCCGCCCATGTCCACACCCATGTGCTGGAGCCTCAAGGAAAGGAACAGGACAGCGGAGTCCTTTCTGTCAATGCGGAAATTTAACCATCAGCTATTAGCCATCTAAGTTCTGAAATAACATCATGTATGGTCGAGCTTACGACGGCCACTTACTACGCGAACACATAAATTGATAAGCTTTGTATGCGCTGGAGTTGGGCTGCAACATGTGAATATCATATTTTGACTGTATGATCTTTATCTCATACGATCATTTACCTCGACGATCTTTTGCGAATACGATCTTTCGTCTATATGAACATTATACTGTACGATCTTTATCCCATACGATCTTTTGGCATACGATCATTTTCCTTGACGATCTTTTGCGAATGCGATATTTTGTACATACGAGCATTATGTCGTACGATCTTTATCCCATACGATCTTTTGGCATACGATCATTTTCCTTGACGATCTTTTGCGAATACGATATTTTGTCCATACGAGCATTATGCCGTACGATTTTTATCCATTACCATATTTTGCATACGATCAACTTCCTACGATCTTCTGCTTTACGATCTTTTGTCCGGTTACCAGGAGCCAAATTACTTCAGCAGAAACCGAACACCGCATGACAATTAGACCTGCACAGCATCAACAATCGGCATATGAGTTATCACCCGTAGCGCATCCATTGATCAAACACGTACTAAAAGCCACAATGCATAATGCATGCATTTCATAATGAAAGCAAGCCAGTTTAATAGCGGCAAAAGATGACACGATGTTATCCAGCCCATTACTAAGTCACAACGACCCCATTTTCTTACACTGCACCGTGCTAATGCTATTGAATGGTCGCAGTCATTGTGTCCATTCAATGACTCTAGATTGCGATGCAAAGCAAAGATCGTCTGCGGAAAATGGGACTATTATGATAGCGTTTAGCCTTTCAGTTGACTGTTGAACCCTGAGTGATTTATCGTGCCATAAGTGCAGCGTGGATGAAAGATATTCCTTCTTCCATGGCTGCAGTGTCAGTTGGCGCAGGATGATTTACTATGTCGACTATGTCGGTGGATGAAAAGCCGATTTGTGAAATAAAGCTTTTAACTATTCAACGCGATTTCGGTTGTCGAACAAATAAAACCTTTATTGAACACCTTTGCAATCCTCATCACAGAAACTAATGCGATCCATGGGAACTCAATAATGCACTGTGTATCACAGAATCAATACGCATATCCTGGTTGCCATCGCAGGCCTTACGAGCTAATCGGCCCACCGGGGACACAAAGCGTCCATACGAACTCGACTAGAACTAGACGGTTCTCGACGGTTCGAGAACCGTCTAGAGTCGGTTCTCGAACGCTCGAAAAACGAGCGTTCGAGAACCGACTCAGTAATTGTGCTAACGCAATTCTCACCGAGAAGCGAGGGGTGACGCGCCTGAATGGCCCCGTATGCCTGAGAAATTCATCGCCTTGAAATTGCACTACCGAATGGATGGTGCGATAATGGCAATACTAATTTCCAATGTAGGCTAATAAACTAACGAGGGACAATGTTCATTGGCTGAATGGACGAAAACAATGAAACACCAAACACAATGCGAAATGACAACAGCTTGAGTCACGTCACTGCATTACAGGGGAATGAAATGTGAAAAGAGAAGAAGCGTCTTTGCAAATGTCACATGAAGCAGCTATCTACAGACACATTCTCTGAAGGAAAGCCAAATATATCTAAGAAACTACGGGGTTTGACAGTCCCAGTTGCCAGAATAGCGCCCTGTTCGGCGGCTGTGCTGACCTCAACTGCAGAGGGGGCCGTCCTCAGCGGCTGTGACCTCAGGTCACCTCTGATCCGGTCAGCCGGGCAGCTGGACTGAGGTGATGATGCCATCCAGGCAGGGCACATTGCCGTCCTTGAAGCGCCGGTAGTCGAGCATCATCTCCTTGAAGCTGCTGAAGTCGGAGAAGGACAGCAGCAGGTCGAATATGTCGCCATCAAGCTCCTCTCGTCGTTCTCTGCGGATGACAGATCACACGGCGAGATGATATACAACTAACTCACTGCATCGACCGGCCGTCGACCCAGCTAACGCAACAATTTTCAAAGTACATATTGCACGGAAAGCTAAATACCTACAGTTGGCAAAAACAAAAAACAAAAACAAAAACGGAATACAAGTACACGTTTGTCTTTTTTATCAGCAAACCTATACTTCGCCAATGCCGTCAACTGCTAGGTTTATGGGAGGGTTCGTAAGCCTCCTGGGTCTGGGAAGAGCCCCCAGACCTCCACAGGCATAACGGACCACCACACCCACCAACATGAGGTCCTTATCCCCCAATGTCCCCATTTGGTCGTACTCACGCCAGCTGCGTCAGGAACTGGTCCATGCTGAAGCTGGGCAGCCGCTGCCGCAGCTGGGAGTCCAGGTGACCCTCCAGCAGACGGCCGTACTCGCGGAACACGTCCATCCACTCCAGGCGGTTCTCCTCCGAGGCCGGGTCGAACAGCGCGCAGTGCCGCTCCACAAACTCTCGCTCCAGCGTGCGAAAACTGGCGTCTGGGGACGGGACGCGGTCACAGGGTGAAGCATAAGCTTTAACTTGAGCCAGTGCATGTATAAAATATTGGAGTAATGACCGATAAGGATAAAGAGATAAAACTGACAAGACTTCCTAGCATCTGGTATTATGTTATTAAGCAATGAGAGCTTCACTCCAAAAGAAATTGGTCAGTGTGTCGTCAGGGAGTCCGGGGCCGGGGGCCCGGGGGGGGGGGGGTATCGATCGCTAATTGAGGACGATTGGAATTTATTTCCTATTGCTATGAGTATGACAGTACAGTGATCATTCTTTTCCTAATGCTCCATGTGATCTTATCAGCTGATAAGCTTACCAGCTTAATGCAGTTATGAACTTAACATTATGATTAAATGCTTTAGATCTGTTGGGTCTTACCCATGATAATATCTTCAATTTCTCCAATGATTGTATCAAATGAGTTTGCTTCAGAGTGGGAATGTATATTCTCTTCTTCATCTGCTGACTGATTCAGCTCCATCTGAAAAAGCAATGGGCAAAGAAAAATGACAAAGTAAGTTGATATGCAAGTTATGCTCAAAGGTTGTGAACAGAATCCACTGGTAAGTAAAACAGAAATACCTACTTGTTAGATCAACAGGCAGAATTTAGCTTGATTATGTCAGTTCACTGTTCAGTCTGGACTCTGTCTGACCTGTGCTAAGTGTCAAATAACTAGGTGTTCAGCACAGACATCAACATTCAAAGGTTCATTAATTAATGACTAATTGATTACATTGGGAAATAAAACACGACGTTAACTGTACTACACTGGTTAATAATGTTTAATTAAGGTATGGCATTATTGCCATGTCTGTATCCATCAGGCTCAGACATGCATTTTCAGGCCAGGCCACCCCTGCAGAGGTTCAAAGTTGGCTCAATAGCTTCTTGGTACGCAATGTTGATGTCAGATGATTTCACACTGAGTCAAGAGAACTTAAGCTTTGGGGATGGAGCCAAAAGCATTGCAATTGGGGGTTGAAGGGATCTAATTGTCTAGTCACCATTGGCAGCTCAATGCAAGACTTAGGTATCACATGTTCAGTTTTTGTTTAGAGCCTAGAGGGTCAGTGAAACAGCCCTGTGAATACAACATCAACATGAAAATTTCTTTGGAAACTACGGCGGCGTTCGATGTCTCCCGGACGGCAAAGATTCTTTGCCGTCCGGCCAATAACGTCCAAGGTCAGCGGGGGCTCGGCTGCGGTTATGAAACGTGATTGGCCGGACGGCGTAGAATCTTCGCCGTCCGAGAGACATCGAACGCGGGGTACTTGAATAAATATATTCTTAATGTTTTGGTAAGATTGAGGTACTCAAGATACCTATAAGAAACGAGGTACTGTCACTGACATTTGACCGTCCGCATCCCAATTCAAATTCATCATCATTCTCAAATCTATCTCAATCCCAATACTTCTTGTCTTTGTCTTAGCTCTCCTCAAATTGAAATATTCAGTGAATCATCACTTATCCTACTTACCGTAGCAGGAAGGTGATGTTGTTGTAAAGGATTATTAATCTAATTATTTTTTATCAGCTTGAGCTTAGTTCATTCGGCTCTCTCTATCGTCTGGATAAAAATAGGCCCCGCCCATCCCAATCAGCTGCTGCATGACGAGTTGATGACGACAACCACTGCTTACCAGCAACCAATCTAGGGATAGCGTACGTGACAGTAATGGTGCAGCGGTTGCAAAATATTACATTGTTATTCAAACGGTTTTTGCTTTTAGGGCCTTGTTGTTTAACCCATCTGTGTGTGATTGTATTGAGATATGTGATTAGATGAGGTGTTGATGAAGGCAGGTATTTTTTTAAATATTTTTTTGACAATTTTTTTGCCCTTGTTCTACTTAATGGCTGAACCCGGGACCACCTGAAGTCTAAACCTTATTATATATAACTTGTCAATGCTGATGCTGTCTTGAAATGTGAAATTTAGACAATGGTAATAGGAATAATGAATAGCAATTTCACCAACAGCTTGTTAATCTCCAGGAAGTTCAATTAAAATTAAAATCACTGTCTGCCACACTGCTCTGATCCTGGTCATGCAACCAACGTTCATGGGTGGTGTTTCACGGCAGAGCACTGCAGTGCGCTGCGTGTGTCAGAGCATTGGGTTTCCATGGCAGTGTCAACAAACTTCACTGTGACGCTAAGCTATGACAGCATCCTAGAATGTTAGCACGCTGCGGTACCAGCACCAGCAGCATGCTAGCAGTATTTGAACTCAAACCTCTGTTCTTGGTATGGTTTTTCAGAACCTCTTACTCTGTTCCAAACGCAATTCATCATAAACTAAGAGATCACATGCAACGTCATTTGAGTGATGCTATGGTATGCCGTAGCTACCAGTGCACCAGTGTCTGGGTGGTGAAACAGGGCCATTATTAATCACATTTGCTTTGCTTTGTTTCAGCAGAAACCTGTCTGCACATGGGAGGAGCGCAACAAAAGCCCATCAAGTTCATGCATGGCAGTGGATCTCAACAGGAGAAAACCAGGAAGAACATGGATGCTTGTAGATTGCAGTTGTACACTGCTGTTGTCACCTGCTGTGCGTGGCTGGCATTGCTCCTGGCAAGAACCACTTGCAAGCGATGAGATGGTGCCTCAGTCATTGAGTGTGCTGCAGTGTGAGAGGCGCCCTGATCTCTACTTTGTGATGGGTTTCCATTGGAGGTTCAACTGAGAAGTGAGAACTGACTGTGGCCATGCTCGAGCATGCCAGTGGAGCTTTACATGCTTAGGGCAGCTTTTGAACAGATGCTGACCATGGCATGTCCCATCCAGTTATCACGTGCACAGAATGGTGGGGGGGGGAGGGCAACTCTGGGCTCTTGAGTCAGCCCTACTGCACAGGGGGTACAGATGGCTGCTCACGTTTGGTGCGTCCTGCACTGCATTATCAAGCCCAGTCTGCTGCCACAGGCAATGGGCCGGGCTGCACTATATTAAAGGCAGACTATCTTGCAAAAGAGGCTGGCATCCTCTCCCATAATGACACACCAATTGACAATCATCGCTGCGATGATCACGAGGGTGTCCGCTTATCTAACATGGTTAGGTGGAGAGCCAGCTCAAGCTGGCCTGAGGGATGGTTTTACTTCATCTGAGGCCCCCTTTCCCCGCCTGCCAGGTCCGCTCAAACGACCGCTTCACAGTGAACGACTTGCAGTGGATGCCGTCCCACAGCGCAACGAGCGCGCCGACCAGAGGCGGCGGCCAAGAGGCGGCCGCACTCCCCCAGACGACGGTCCCGGTGGACGTCGGCAACGCCCACCGCGCGACCATCAGATCGGCTCTCGACCGCGCCGTCGCCGACTGACCGCATGACTGGTATCTGTTCTTGATGTGGGACCGACTGCCACCGCCGGTCGCGGAAGGGCATCGCTCATCGGCCATCGACGTCCACCAGCTTCGCGTGGGTCACTGTTCGGGCTGCCACCAACACACCGAATCGGATGGAACCCTGTCGGCGAATGCCGGCGGTGCCCCGACATCGACTGCGCGGCGGCCAGTGCATCGCGTGCCGGGAGGAGGCTGGCACCCCCGATCGGTCATTGGTCACAAACCGTGTCCCAGCTCATGACTGCATCCAGCGCAGCTCTGTGAGATGTTCTGCTGCAGTCTGCCGCGTGTGTTGAAAGAAGAATGAACATGAGAAAACCTCAAAACTTTATGCCTATTTGTATTTGACCAGTATTGGAATAAGTTTGGATTTTGAGAATTTGTGTCCCTGTGCTTGTGCCTGTGTGGAAAGGCATGCTCTACGGTGTACCATCTCAATTTGTGCGGCTGCTGACAGGCCACCTGGGTGCCAACGTATGTGCGAATCCGCGAATACGTTGTGTTTCGTCAGTCGGTATCGTTCTGAAAATATTGACTGCAATAGGCTATATAGCGTATGACGGTTCAGCCCAGCAGTAATAACTGACCATTGATTGGGCGAATTTTGTGTGGTGGTTCGCTAATACATAACCTAAAGAGTGTTTTGCCGGAATCGTTTAGTAGCAGAACTGACCGAAATATAAGTAGAATGCAACGGTTTGAATCGTTAATTTGTTGAAACGATTGTTCTCTGAGACCACTGTGTAACTTTTGACCTGAGAATCACCAATTATAACGACAATGGTGGAAGCAGTAGGCACTGTAGAGTGTAGGCAGCACTATATAGTTGGCACACTTACGCAAGCACACGACTTACGCAGTGGACATCTGCATCATGCATGTTAGGTTTACTGGGAAGAGTGAGAAATTAGTCAGAATATAACTGACTAAGGAAAATAGGCGATATTTCCAGTTGAGCTGGGGCGGAGAAGGGAAGGGGACGTATGGTCAGCTATGCCAATAATTCATTCTCGTTATGCAGCTGTGTAAAGGGCGTCCGTTTTTTGGGTGAGACCTTCCCCATTGGCCATTTCCAAGCTAAATCGTGGTGGAGAGTCTGGAGACCTCAGCCTCGGTAGTCGGTACCCTGCGCGCTGCGCCACCTTGCGAAACATAAAGCAGCAGTCCTGACATCTACAGGCGTTACTTTTCATGAAAGCGCGGATGTGTTCGCGCTTATGCGAAGAAAATTCTTCCGAGTATGGTTGATAATGAGATAAATTGTTGTCATTTATTTATTAATTCATTGGCAAAAGTACCCTAATAAATCGGTAAAGTAGCTTAAACTGTATCGTATTTCCTTGGGAAAAAATGACGAACTCATCCTAAGACATCCAGATTATTGGATGCGTTCGTCAGTTGTAAATAGTTCAAGTTTTTGGAAAAATTTGCTTGTGGAAAATCATAATATTTCAAAGATATGCCTATTTTCGAATAATTCATGCATTTATCTGCATTAAAAAATGATTGTAAAGCAAAAGTGCAAAAGATTATTGTCAATTTATTCTCTCAAATCACAATTTACGAACGCACAAAACTCCAGCTTTTAATTTAGTGCGTGTGCGAATTGCGGTCAAGAAAAAAGATTTTAACTGTCTATATTCCTCTTAAAACAATGAAGGATGAATGAGGAAAACGCTGTTATGAGCAATTGTATATTTATTTTTTCTCAATTAAGCAAAAGTACAAAATTTTCAACTATTATTACATTTGCTCTCACAAAACCCATCACTTTTAAGCATGACGTCATGTCAGCCAAACTTACTAGCGCCATCTCTGGAGAGCATCTTTCGAAACCTCCAGACGATAGAGAGAGCCGTTCATTCGACTTTAACGTGCACAGAGGTTTTTTTTTTTTTTTTTTTTTTTTTTTTTAGTGGCCCTAACTTACGTTACCGGCCTCGCGAGGAGGGCGGCGACCTAACTACGCCGCGCAAAACAAACCGGCCGTCCTAACTAAGACCGGTGGCCACTTTTACAGCAAGACAACATGGGAAAACCCATATCCATGTACTATGCCATGAATATGGGAAAAAACCCATGAATTTACGTTAAGACACATAAATGACAGTGAAACTTACCGGTAAATTGATGTTTGTGAAGGGAGGGAAGGAGGAAGTTTGTGAATGGTAAGGTTACGAGAGTTTGATGACAGGAATGGTTTGAAGAGTGGGGGATATGTCGCTGGGAGGGATGGGGTTTGTGAATGTTTAAGCGTCACGATGAAAGGAATGGTTTGGAGGATGGGGAATCTGTCGCTGCTGCAGTTGGCGGCCGACGGTTGTCTGTGGTCGTTCAACCCGGCCGCCGCCGCTGTTCAGCGGCCGGGGTCCGCTGGTGTAGCTCGCTGGGCCGCTGAGCCTCTAAGCCTGCTCCAGCGGCAGGAGAAAACCCGTCTGCCACCGAAGCTCTGTGTTTCGGCACCAGCGAAAAACCCGACCCATCCCGTATCACAAGTCAGCCTGGTGGTAGCGAAACGGGCGCCTGCTAACAGTCAAGGCCGTTAAAGTAGCTCTGAGTAGGGTGATGTTAGGACGAAATCAAGTACCAGGTTTGTCAATGTTGTGTCGTCCCCGAGAAGCGTCGGGAGGTCGTTTTTAAGGTGTTGTACCGCAAGATAGTTAGTGATGTGTCTTCGTTCGTGATGCAATGCCGTGCATGCGATCAAAATGTGCTCTACGGAGATGCGTGTGTCGCAGGTGTGGCAAATCGGAGGGCCCGTCCTATCAAAAAGGTGGCCATGGGTGAGGCGAGTATGACCACACCTCAATCTGGCCAGGGTCACCTCGCGTATCCTGTCTGGTTGGTTACATGTGACCCATGTTCTAAGTTCTCGTTTGATCGCATACATATGTGCAGCATGATGTTGGTCCCATTTGCGTTGAAGGTACTCGGCGAATTTGATTTTTATCATATGAATAGCGTCCCCTTGGGCCATAGGTTCCACAACTGGATCAGGTCGCATTGCAGCCTCCTTTGCGAGGACATCCGCACGTTCATTTCCTGCAATACCGTAATGACCTGGAACCCAAAGAAGGGTCACATGCTGGCCCTCATTGAGATCTGATGTGATCCTGAGAATATTGTAGATACCGTGGTGGGTAACATTATCGGTCCTTTCCAGTGCTTGAAGAGCGGATTTCGAATCAGTACAGATGGTTGCCCGATCAATCTTTTCTGCCTTGATGTGCTCCATAACTTTTTCGATTGCGTGAACTTCGGCACTAAAGACTGTCGTAAATTCTTGAAGCCGGGTCCCAAACCTAAGCCCAGGGCCGACGGCTGCTGAACCTATCTGATTTTCGTGACATGAGCCATCTGTGGTAGGTATCTGTAAAGAATCTTGCAAAGAGGACACATTCCTCTCTGCATGACAAACTTGCGATTCTGTTCTATGTCTGTTGT